ACAAAATAATACATTTTTTTACTGAAATACTATATGCCGACTACTGGCAAATAGACATGCCGAGCATTAGAAAATGATGCCGACTACTGGCAAAAAACTACGATTTTAGTAAAATTGCAAATTTTGCCAATTTAATAAAAACAAATTCAATTGTTGTTTATTATTTCGAAAACTAAACAAAATTTGGAATCTGAACAACTTTATTTTTCTGCAATTGAAAGATTTCACTCAGAATGTTGAAAGATTGAAACATTGAAAATTCTAAAAATGCCGACTACTGGTACACTTACCCTATATTAATTCCCTCTAAATTCAAATTATAACTGCTCTAAAGCCATGATACGCATTCAAATGAGGTTCATAGTTGGTATTATCTATTAGCTCTACTAAATATGCATAGTGATTTAGGGTATCATATAGTCGGCCCACCCAACTTTTGACCTTTCCCTATTTTTTATATTAAAGAACAGTAGACGAGATTAATGTCCACTTTTGGTTTTTTCGTGCTCTGTCCCAAACGAAAAATACAATTAATGACAAGTAAAAAAGGAATTAAGTTCTCGGCTGGACGAACTTTTGATACCCTCCACCATTAGGGGAAAAATATTTTTTTCTTAGGAAAAATGTCAAATTATAAAAATATATAATCCAATTAGATCCATTATTGCATGATGAATATTGTTTATTAAGACTACCGTTTAATATTAGAAACAGGTCCATGAAAATGTCTGGCCGAATGCATAGAGATGAGGTAATACGCGAACTTAGACATGAGGTAATACGTGAACTTAAGGGAAGAAAATTCCACAGAAAAATGGACCAAAATTGACAAATATCTGGGGGGTAGTTTTAAATTCGTAGGCCTATTTACACAATTGTTTCACATATCGAATTCTAGACAAAAATGTGGCTATAATTATTTAAATACCGAATATCGGGGGCTATACGATATCGTAGACCCATCTTCGAATTGGACCTGCCTACTGGCAAAAGACTAATCTGTTTTTATGTGTTGTATTTCTTAATTCTTTTCGACTTTAGCGTGATTACAACAGACGGCCAGGGCTAAATCGCCTTAGAATTTTACGCTGATTAAGAGTATATATATACTTGGTAGGGTCTACAATTTAATACTCACACTTTCTAACTCAAATTCTAGTTCGTCGATTATATCGCGGGCCTCATCCAGTTCGTTTTGCAGCTTTGCAACATGCTCCTGCAAATTGGCAACTGTCGCATTATTCTCCTTCGGTGAAGCTCTCTTTGCCGATTTTATATTTTGTTCTAGAAAATATCGAAGGTTATTGGAATCTCGCACACCCGTAGATAGCCTAATGAAATACCCTTGTCCTTTTGGACTATTGCCGACTTAATGACTAATCCGTTTAGTGTTTTCTGCCGATTGAAGACATCTTCGAGTGCCTTGCAACGTTGGACTTTGGCCACAAATGCCGCATGCAGCTGGTTGTATTTGCGTTTTATTTTCTCAAGTTGTTCGAACAGATTGTCACGTTCATTTTCCATTTGGAATGCCTTCAGTCTCGTCTCCACATTCACGATAGATTTCGATTTATCGTCATTGGTCAAACGCTGGAGATCTTGTCGCAGCTGAGCATTTTCATCGACCAAAAGGGCTCGTTCGCTTTCCAGTTGGAGCGTCTTCATTTTCAGCTCCGCATTGAGGGTCGATTTTGATCGCTCCTCGTCAGCTAAACGCTGCAGTTCCCGTCGCAATTGTGCATTTTCCTCAATCAGACGTTCATTTTGGGCATTGGCTGAAAAGAGAGCAGATTTCTTGAAGAAGCAAATTTAAAGACTACAATATTCGAAGTTACCTGCATTTAATTCGGTTTGTAAGAAATTCAATTCGGATGACCTTTCCATTGGATGGGGGTTTGAGTGAGCAACGCTGTATTCTATGTTTCAACAAATCTACTACTTCGCCGCAAGGTTCAAGAAACAAATGACAAAAAGAGTTAAGCATTAATATTAAATAACAACAACAATCGAACGAGCGAAGATATGACTGTTGGCCAGCTATTTAATAAAGTAGTCTAATTAACAAAAACAACGCAAACCTGCTATATTACACATTGACGTGGAGAATTTTAGTAAGTCCCATTTGAATGGTACCAGCGAATCAAATATCGAAATGAAATACAGATAAGACTTTGTTTGTTTATTGATCATTCATGCGTTGTTCAAGTTTCAGATATTTTTATACCCTCCACCATTCTATGGAGGGTACATATTAACTTTGTCATTTCGTTTGTAACTCCTCGTAATACTCATATCAGGCCCAACAACGTATATATATTCTTGATCAGCGTAAAATTCTAAGTCGATTTAGCAATGTCCGCCTGTCTGTCTGTTGTAATCACGCTATCTTTCGAACGAATTGAGATTGAAGGCTACAATTTTGCATACATGTTTATTTTGCCAGTATGTAGGTTAAGTTCGTAAATGAGTCATGTAGGTCCACGTTTTCATATAGGCCCCATATAACGGTACCTCCCGATATTCGGCATTTTGAAGATGCTACATTATACCCGTTTATAATATGGTATTGGTTTATAACAAACAATGCCTATGTAGGTCCACGTCGTTAGACCCCAATATAACGGCTATGTTCGGTATTTTTAAGATTTTAACAAAAATTTTACGGGTTTTATTTTTTGAAAATTTCCAAATTCGTTCCAAATGGTGGAGGGAATTCAAAGTTCGGCCCGGCCGAACTTACTGCTTTTCAACATGTTATATGTGAGTGCGTACAACCACGTACATGCATGCATTCAATACACACTAAATTACCATCTACCTACCCAGCGAACCAAATGTCGTATGTCCGACACTCCCGCTCAAAGTCTGAAGTTTTGTCCAGCGTATGTCCGAATGTTAAGAGATTTTATTCGTTTTGTTGCATTTTTTTCTCTTCTGCATTTGTCGTAAGCAAGTGAAAAAGAGACAAGTAAAACTATGTAAAGTGGTTTCTCGTCGGCTGAGGTAAGCTCAGCTGTTGCCAGGGTAAGATTAGATTTCTCCCATTTAATTATTAGTACTAAATTTCAATCTACTCGGGTTGAAATACGATAAGATATGGAATGGATGGAATATATGATGACGAATGGACTCCGGAGATGTTTGGAAATTCAAAGTAGTGTTGTTCAATTCATGATCGGGAATTCACAATGGATACTCTGGTGGTTGCTGTGAAGTGTGATTAGCCGAGGATCCGGGGGTGATCGGGTACTTGTGAATGACTATCGGATGGTGATTGGTGATGCTACGGTGACGCTGGCGTTGACGATTTGAAAGTAATCGAGAACTTGTAGTCGTCTGTTGTCGACAGTTTGACTGTTGTCAGGAATTACGATGTTTGTGTTCGGGTGATGCGGGATGTTGATGATTTGAAGGTTATCAGGAACTTCATTAGGTTGACGAGCGACGAAAGATCGAGGTAGGCGATGTAGGTGGTTGGGATATTGATTTGCAGGTCTTCGGAGACGTGGACTCGGGTTATTAACAATAGAGAACGGCGGTTCACTGTGGAGGTACCTGGGAAGAAGATGTCTAGGTTTTCTAAGATATATCGGGATACGTTCGGTTTCAACAGCACTTTGAGAGTAGATTCGACCACACATGGCTAGGTCTTTGTAGATAGATAGAGACTCATTTGGGATCGGCAGCTCGTTGCGGGTAGGTTCGGCAACCGATGTCTAGATCTTTGTAGATGGATCGGAATTCGTTAGGGATTTGCAGTTCACTGTGGGAATGTACGGGTTTAGCTAGCGCTACGTTTTATACCCAGCAAGCATTTGGAAGTGAGTCAGTTACTCCCTTTTTAAGATGCCACTTCTGCGACGCTTCTAATCCTAATAAATGCGATAGTATGCACATTTACAATAACAAAACTACTGTTGTCTACTTTCTATCGTCACGTAGTTACTACTTAGTGGCGCAAGAAAATTAAAAGAAGGTGTCTCGTGTGCAGACACTATCTAGTGACTGCCATCGGATAAAACAGTGATAGCTTGCCATCATTTACGAATTGAATATAAATAAGACTTTATTCTAATACACTGTGGTACAGTGGTAAGCATGCCGGCTTTGCTCTCTGAACACGTCTGTTCGATTCCCAATCCAGACATAACATTTTTAAAACGAAAAAAAATGTTTGAGTATTTCACCTAATAAGTAAGAGTTCTATCCAAATGAACATTGGAAAAAGTAACAATAACAATAAAAAATAAATGCTTAAGTCTGAAGTAAAAAGAAAATTGTTTTTTTTTCTCTTCCAATAACTAACGAGGAAGTGACTTCCACGATTATTAGAAAACTATCGCGGGCGTGGTTCATCTCTTCACGAAGGATGCTCCTTCCGGGATGAGAAAGCGATATCAAACGCGATGATTTATATCGCTGGTACACTTACCCTATATTAATTCCCTCTAAATTCAAATTATAACTGCTCTAAAGCCATGATACGCATTCAAATGAGGTTCATAGTTGGTATTATCTATTAGCTCTACTAAATATGCATAGTGATTTAGGGTATCATATAGTCGGCCCACCCAACTTTTGACCTTTCCCTATTTTTTATATTAAAGAACAGTAGACGAGATTAATGTCCACTTTTGGTTTTTTCGTGCTCTGTCCCAAACGAAAAATACAATTAATGACAAGTAAAAAAGGAATTAAGTTCTCGGCTGGACGAACTTTTGATACCCTCCACCATTAGGGGAAAAATATTTTTTTCTTAGGAAAAATGTCAAATTATAAAAATATATAATCCAATTAGATCCATTATTGCATGATGAATATTGTTTATTAAGACTACCGTTTAATATTAGAAACAGGTCCATGAAAATGTCTGGCCGAATGCATAGAGATGAGGTAATACGCGAACTTAGACATGAGGTAATACGTGAACTTAAGGGAAGAAAATTCCACAGAAAAATGGACCAAAATTGACAAATATCTGGGGGGTAGTTTTAAATTCGTAGGCCTATTTACACAATTGTTTCACATATCGAATTCTAGACAAAAATGTGGCTATAATTATTTAAATACCGAATATCGGGGGCTATACGATATCGTAGACCCATCTTCGAATTGGACCTGCCTACTGGCAAAAGACTAATCTGTTTTTATGTGTTGTATTTCTTAATTCTTTTCGACTTTAGCGTGATTACAACAGACGGCCAGGGCTAAATCGCCTTAGAATTTTACGCTGATTAAGAGTATATATATACTTGGTAGGGTCTACAATTTAATACTCACACTTTCTAACTCAAATTCTAGTTCGTCGATTATATCGCGGGCCTCATCCAGTTCGTTTTGCAGCTTTGCAACATGCTCCTGCAAATTGGCAACTGTCGCATTATTCTCCTTCGGTGAAGCTCTCTTTGCCGATTTTATATTTTGTTCTAGAAAATATCGAAGGTTATTGGAATCTCGCACACCCGTAGATAGCCTAATGAAATACCCTTGTCCTTTTGGACTATTGCCGACTTAATGACTAATCCGTTTAGTGTTTTCTGCCGATTGAAGACATCTTCGAGTGCCTTGCAACGTTGGACTTTGGCCACAAATGCCGCATGCAGCTGGTTGTATTTGCGTTTTATTTTCTCAAGTTGTTCGAACAGATTGTCACGTTCATTTTCCATTTGGAATGCCTTCAGTCTCGTCTCCACATTCACGATAGATTTCGATTTATCGTCATTGGTCAAACGCTGGAGATCTTGTCGCAGCTGAGCATTTTCATCGACCAAAAGGGCTCGTTCGCTTTCCAGTTGGAGCGTCTTCATTTTCAGCTCCGCATTGAGGGTCGATTTTGATCGCTCCTCGTCAGCTAAACGCTGCAGTTCCCGTCGCAATTGTGCATTTTCCTCAATCAGACGTTCATTTTGGGCATTGGCTGAAAAGAGAGCAGATTTCTTGAAGAAGCAAATTTAAAGACTACAATATTCGAAGTTACCTGCATTTAATTCGGTTTGTAAGAAATTCAATTCGGATGACCTTTCCATTGGATGGGGGTTTGAGTGAGCAACGCTGTATTCTATGTTTCAACAAATCTACTACTTCGCCGCAAGGTTCAAGAAACAAATGACAAAAAGAGTTAAGCATTAATATTAAATAACAACAACAATCGAACGAGCGAAGATATGACTGTTGGCCAGCTATTTAATAAAGTAGTCTAATTAACAAAAACAACGCAAACCTGCTATATTACACATTGACGTGGAGAATTTTAGTAAGTCCCATTTGAATGGTACCAGCGAATCAAATATCGAAATGAAATACAGATAAGACTTTGTTTGTTTATTGATCATTCATGCGTTGTTCAAGTTTCAGATATTTTTATACCCTCCACCATTCTATGGAGGGTACATATTAACTTTGTCATTTCGTTTGTAACTCCTCGTAATACTCATATCAGGCCCAACAACGTATATATATTCTTGATCAGCGTAAAATTCTAAGTCGATTTAGCAATGTCCGCCTGTCTGTCTGTTGTAATCACGCTATCTTTCGAACGAATTGAGATTGAAGGCTACAATTTTGCATACATGGTTATTTTGCCAGTATGTAGGTTAAGTTCGTAAATGAGTCATGTAGGTCCACGTTTTCATATAGGCCCCATATAACGGTACCTCCCGATATTCGGCATTTTGAAGATGCTACATTATACCCGTTTATAATATGGTATTGGTTTATAACAAACAATGCCTATGTAGGTCCACGTCGTTAGACCCCAATATAACGGCTATGTTCGGTATTTTTAAGATTTTAACAAAAATTTTACGGGTTTTTATTTTTTGAAAATTTCCAAATTCGTTCCAAATGGTGGAGGGAATTCAAAGTTCGGCCCGGCCGAACTTACTGCTTTTCAACATGTTATATGTGAGTGCGTACAACCACGTACATGCATGCATTCAATACACACTAAATTACCATCTACCTACCCAGCGAACCAAATGTCGTATGTCCGACACTCCCGCTCAAAGTCTGAAGTTTTGTCCAGCGTATGTCCGAATGTTAAGAGATTTTATTCGTTTTGTTGCATTTTTTTCTCTTCTGCATTTGTCGTAAGCAAGTGAAAAAGAGACAAGTAAAACTATGTAAAGTGGTTTCTCGTCGGCTGAGGTAAGCTCAGCTGTTGCCAGGGTAAGATTAGATTTCTCCCATTTAATTATTAGTACTAAATTTCAATCTACTCGGGTTGAAATACGATAAGATATGGAATGGATGGAATATATGATGACGAATGGACTCCGGAGATGTTTGGAAATTCAAAGTAGTGTTGTTCAATTCATGATCGGGAATTCACAATGGATACTCTGGTGGTTGCTGTGAAGTGTGATTAGCCGAGGATCCGGGGGTGATCGGGTACTTGTGAATGACTATCGGATGGTGATTGGTGATGCTACGGTGACGCTGGCGTTGACGATTTGAAAGTAATCGAGAACTTGTAGTCGTCTGTTGTCGACAGTTTGACTGTTGTCAGGAATTACGATGTTTGTGTTCGGGTGATGCGGGATGTTGATGATTTGAAGGTTATCAGGAACTTCATTAGGTTGACGAGCGATGAAAGATCGAGGTAGGCGATGTAGGTGGTTGGGATATTGATTTGCAGGTCTTCGGAGACGTGGACTCGGGTTATTAACAATAGAGAACGGCGGTTCACTGTGGAGGTACCTGGGAAGAAGATGTCTAGGTTTTCTAAGATATATCGGGATACGTTCGGTTTCAACAGCACTTTGAGAGTAGATTCGACCACACATGGCTAGGTCTTTGTAGATAGATAGAGACTCATTTGGGATCGGCAGCTCGTTGCGGGTAGGTTCGGCAACCGATGTCTAGATCTTTGTAGATGGATCGGAATTCGTTAGGGATTTGCAGTTCACTGTGGGAATGTACGGGTTTAGCTAGCGCTACGGTTTATACCCAGCAAGCATTTGGAAGTGAGTCAGTTACTCCCTTTTTAAGATGCCACTTCTGCGACGCTTCTAATCCTAATAAATGCGATAGTATGCACATTTACAATAACAAAACTACTGTTGTCTACTTTCTATCGTCACGTAGTTACTACTTAGTGGCGCAAGAAAATTAAAAGAAGGTGTCTCGTGTGCAGACACTATCTAGTGACTGCCATCGGATAAAACAGTGATAGCTTGCCATCATTTACGAATTGAATATAAATAAGACTTTATTCTAATACACTGTGGTACAGTGGTAAGCATGCCGGCTTTGCTCTCTGAACACGTCTGTTCGATTCCCAATCCAGACATAACATTTTTAAAACGAAAAAAAATGTTTGAGTATTTCACCTAATAAGTAAGAGTTCTATCCAAATGAACATTGGAAAAAGTAACAATAACAATAAAAAATAAATGCTTAAGTCTGAAGTAAAAAGAAAATTGTTTTTTTTTCTCTTCCAATAACTAACGAGGAAGTGACTTCCACGATTATTAGAAAACTATCGCGGGCGTGGTTCATCTCTTCACGAAGGATGCTCCTTCCGGGATGAGAAAGCGATATCAAACGCGATGATTTATATCGCTTAGGCGTGACTTCTAAGTGATTCGGGGGATAGTTTTTGTTTGCTGGGAAGTTCTATGTAAACGTACATTGGAAAAAGTACCACCCAGCAAGCAAAAACTATCCCCCAAATCAATAAGAAGTCACGCCTAAGCGATAGAAATCATCGCGTTTGGTATCGCTTTCTCACCCCGGAAGGAGCATCCTTTGGGAAGAGATGAACCACGCCCGCGATAGTTTTCTAATAATCGTGGAAGTCACTTCCTCGTTAGTTATTGGAAGAGAAAAAAAAAACAATTTTCTTTTTACTTAAGACTTAAGCATTTATTTTTTTATTGTTATTGTTACTTTTTCCTATGTTCATTTGTATAGAACTCTTACTTATTAGATGAAATTTTCAAACATTTCGTTTTAAAAACGTGATGTCTGGATTGGGAATCGAACCGAGGTGTTCAGAGAGCAAAGCTGGCATGCTTACCACTGCGCCACAGCGTCTTATATTCCTCAGATAGAATATAGTCTTATTTATGTTCAATTCGTGAATGATTGCAAACTATCACTGTTTTATCCGATGGCAATCACTAGATAGTGTCTGCACACGAGACACCTTCTTTTAACTTTCTTGCGCCACTAAGTAGTAACTACGTGAGGATAGAAAGTAGACAACAGTAGTTTTGTTATTGTAAATGTGCATACTATCGCATTTATTAGGATTAGAAGCGTCACAGAAGTGGCATCTTAAAATGGAAGTGAGTTACTCACATCCAAATGCTTGCAGGGCAATAACAAGAAAAATAATTGCTTAAGTCTTGAATAAAAAAAATATTTTTTTTCACTTCCAACAACTGTCAGGGAAATGACTTCCACGATTTTCAGAAGTGACGCTGTAAACGCTATTTAGACATGCTTAAAACTATCGCGGGCGTGGTTCATTTATTTCGAAGAATGCTCCCTCTGGGTTAAGAAAGCGATATCAAACGCGATGATTTCTATCGCTTAGGCGTGACTACCAATGTAAAATTAATTTGCGGGATATTTTTTGCTTGCTGGGCAACTACCTATACTCCACTGTCAATGTATTTTCAGCTACCAGTGGAAGAACTCGTTTCAAACTCTCAATACCAAATTTGGAAAAATGTGACTAAATTATCAATATACCAAATGTCAGGAGGCACGTGGACCGATATGTCTCAATACCAACCATCCAACCTTAATTTCAAAGCTCTACGTTAAAAAATGTGGACTGTGTCGTGATTTCAGACGGGCATCTTTACATCGATTTAGAATTTTATGCTGATCATGTACCATATGTACTTTATGGGGTCAACGACAAATATTTAGAGGCGTTACAAACAGAATGAACTTCCTTGCGAGCTCGGTTTGAAAGAAGGCTTTATTCGGACGTCAACCACTCCATATAACATTCGTTCAAAAGCCGGATCGACAGTTTGGTTCGCTGGGTACATACATCGATTGACGACTAACTAACAATTTTGATTTTATTGATAAATGTCTTGAATGTTTTAATTAAAATTGTTTGGGAACGACTTTACCAAAGCTTTTATATTTTTTTAGTACGGACAAAAACCAACCAGGCAGTGCACAGTGGTGGCCGAAACGAATAAGTCATTGGCCGTCTTGGCACAAATTCACATTTGAAGAAGTAAAAAGCGTTAAGTTTGGCTGGGCCGTACGAGTAATACCCTCCATGGGGTAATGAGAACATTTATAAATAAAAGATTCGTGATTCAATATTCGAACGAGTTCCATTTCCAATTCGGTTGAAAAATGCAGTTGAAGTCTTCTAAATAGCATTTCGTGGGTGGTACCATTATGTGGGGGCGTCACCCAATATGAACCATCATAGAACGAGGGTTGTTATCTATTGCGAGTGACAAGAATCAAATTTAATTTGAATGTGCCGTTATATGGATACTATATAGTTGGAATGTATTGCAAACTTCTAAACCCCGAACTTGTGTTAAAAAATATTGCTAAAATTATTAACATAAATAAAAACCTGGAGGAACTGTTGTATGGGACGTGGAATGTGGAAACAACCTATCTGCCAAATTTCAAAGCTCTACAACAAATATTGCGGGCCGTATAGTGATTTCAACTGACAGACGGACATCGTTACATCGACTTAGAATTTTGTACTGATCATGAAACATATACTTTATGGGGCGACAAATATTTAGAGTTATTACAAACGGAATCGTAAATTAATATACCCTCTTTTTCATGGTGGAGGTTATAAAAACTCATTTTATGAATTATGCCACTCTTTGAGTAAATAAGCGTTATGAAATTGTGCTATCGCAAAACATAAGGCATTTGTAAGATATTTCCCTTCGGAATACTAAACACTAATTTCTCAATTTGTTTTTATCAAAATATATACCAAATTTGAATAATTTCTTTAAAATCATCAAAATACCGAATATCGGGAGGTACCGTTATATGGGTGATATACCAAAACCTGGACCTACATTCCCATTTTCAATACCAAAAGTCCTGCAGACATAATATACATTTGAGTAAAATTGAATCAATCTACTACATTTCGTTCGGAAGCTAGAGTGATTTCCACAGACGGACAGATGGATAGAAGGACGGACATCGCCAAATCGACATAGAATTTTATTCTATTCGTGGGGTCTAAAATGTATATACTATGGTGGAGGGTATAAAAACGCAGAAAAATACTCCTAAGATCATAAAAGTAACGAATATTGGGAGCTACCATTATTTGGGCCTACATAGGCATAGGAACTTCAAAATTTGATACAATTCCATTCAATTGTCGCTAAAATCATCAAAATATCGAATATAAGGAAGCACCGAGATTTTGGGACTATACGAAGACATAAACCTGCATAGACAATTTTCTGTCGTAGAATGTAGTACCCATTAGGAACTTCCAATTCAGAATTTGAAACATTCCCCTGAAAAATGTGACGCAAATTATCAAAATACCGAATATCTGGAGATACAGTTATTTAAGGACTATACCAAAACTTAGACCTATATTGAGGGTAGTATGCAAGGATGTTTATTATATAATGGGAACACATGCTTCCAATTTGCAGCAAATCCGGGTTAAAATTGTGACTGAAACACCCAAAAGAACTAAAATCTGTCGGTACAGTCGTACCAAAACGTGGACAAAGTATAATTTTATTAACATATTTTATTCCGTTCGGAAATTAGATAGATTTCCACAGACTGTCAGGGAGACGGTTGGACATTGCTAAATCACCTTAGAATTATAATTTATCATTTGTGAGCTCTAAAATGTACATTTCAAGGTGTCACAAACGGAATGATAAACTTAATATACGCTCCGTACCATGGTGGAGGTGGTATGCGAAAGCCATAAGACGTTCTCACGTTGATTGGATGGAACAATTACAGAAATACACTACAGCTAATCTGTCATAGCAATATTCGGATCCAAAGATTCTTTTAACATCCCTTCTTGGAAATTTGTTTTGTTTCTTAATCGAATTATCGAATCTATGATACAATTCTTTTTGAACATTCGGGACCTAATTCGAATCGGTCTGCTATTTAATAGTACAGTTCAGGAAAAATGCGAATGCTCAAGGTTAATTACAGCTTCTTCTTTACAAGATTATTACGCATCATATCCTCCAAATTTCAAATAAAACAAAATTGTTTGTTGGCTAATGTTGCTCTTAAAAATACATTTATTTCCTTTTTTAATAATTCATATAAATTAATTTTCATTAAGGCATAATTTTCAACTAATTACAAAGTAGCCGACGTTATGTGTATGTATATATTCATTCTTTATTTATATATTAATGTGTGTACGTGTGTGAATGTGATTCATTAATTTAAAAAGAACATAATTTGTTTTTATAATGGGCTTGTATATCTGTTCAATAGATCTAATTATCAATTCATTAATGCTAAAAAATATTGATGTCTATTAAATATATCTTCTATCCGATAAAATCATATATCATTCAGTGTTGAAAATTGATTACATTTATGTGTGTAATATATTGTTTTTATTCATTATTTTTAATCGACTGGTTAAAGTAATTTAACGCAGATGTCTTTTCACAGCACATTTTCATTGACAATTGTATCTCTGGTTGTTGTTGTTGTTTTTTTTTTTTTTTCTTTCTACGTACATATGTATGTGTTAGATATATATTGTGTTTCTTCTTAAATTGAAATTCGCAATTTTTATAACAATCGTGTGTTACTTAAACAACAAAATCGGAGCAAAAATAAATATTTCTTCTATTACCATTGGACATGAGTTCTGCAGCAGCGTTATTTATAATTTAAAAAATATTTATTTGATAAAAATTTCATTTTCTACTTAAACATCTAAAATATCTTCATTTAAATATTTATATCTTATTTATGGATTATTTTTCTTGTGTTTTTTCTACAGATTTCTGTTGTTGGCATACATACACACCTATGGATTAGACGAATTATTTCAAATTGGCATAGCATAGTCCCACGTAGTCATATTGTACCATGTAAACCAATTGCATAGATAAATAAATAATAAATACCCTGCCACTACTCCGCATACACCCTGCATTTAAATGAAGAAAAAATATTTGTTTTGTTGTAGAAATGAAAACACAATCGAAATATGACGTCTTGTACAAGACTTTTTCACAGCTGTTCATTTCCAGACATTTTATAGTATAATATAGGAATTGTAAAACGACTTTACACCATTGAATATGTAGTGTAGAATTTTTGACTATTTATACACCAGTGTGTATGTATTATCTGTAACATGTGGTTTGACATTTTTTTCCATTTGCTTGATACAACATAATTTATTCTAAAATGTGAAATAGTCATTACTACTACTATTATTATTTTTATTGTTAAAAATAATTTATTGCAGATTTTTAGTGTCTGAATGTGTGTCTGATCTTTTGCTAATTCTTTAAAATCAATCGCATTCTATGTAAAATAGTCTCAGTTTCATTTCTCATTTATCTAAATTGTTAATATTGTTATTTTACTTTCATTTTTAACTTGGTATATGTATCACACAAACTGGCTCATACAAATAACTATATTTGAATATTACAATGGGTCGCATTCATAGGAATTTATATTTTCCATTTAAATTCAAAAGAAAGAAAGAAGAAATTTCCAATAGAAAACCTTCACAAATAATGTCCCACTAGTAACATCAAGCTCATTGTATTAACCAGTATTCGTCCTATTGTTTCTTAGGTAAAATTGATTATTGTTGATGTACATAAAACAGTCATAGACTCTTGTATCTAAATACGTTAATTGATAATAGTTTTATTCTTTTTACTACACCTAAGTACTTATTTAGTTATTGTATGAATTGCTCAAACAACTATCTTCCAGGCTTCTTCTTCTTCTATCATATGTATGTATATTCCACGTACAGTCTAGAAATTTGGTATGAATCAAATTTCACTTCATCTCAAGTCCATTGTCGACGCCATCTCAACTCTCCGACATTTTATTTTCGAAAATCAAAGTTGATGAGAATTGATGTGATTAATGTATTGTTTCTAGAAGAATGCTAAATTAAATAAGTACAGATCATCCGATATGATGTGCATTTAAAACGATATTAGAGTCCTGAAATTAGGCTTGGCAGGATTTAGCCTAGTGAAAGCCTACAAAAATGATATGTAACAGAAATTATTGATAACGCATGCGGCGTGTCTGTATGGATAGTTTCGTTGCAGATTTTGTAAGCTAGACATATTAATATGCCAAAAGCAAGGTAGTAAATAGCTTGATCTTGTTAGAGAGATATTCAAAACCCATTCATCTATTTTCACAGCATATTTAACGTTAATCTCGACACATTTTAATTATCTGAATTCTGCTCATTGCAAGTTGTGTTAACTTAAAGCAAACATTTGAATATCCACAACTCTGCGAGAAATGTCATTATCTGTCCATAAATCGATGCATAAAATAAAAGGGAATGTATTATTGCACTTCTATAGGAAGGATTCTTAGCATAATAGTGTTTAACTATAGGAAACCGTTGTAGAGACAATTTGATTGCAGCAATTCCCTCCCTCTAAATACTGACAACCTTTTGTTGAGCCCCTTCATTGTCGTCGTTGTCGTCGTCGTCCTCGTCATCCGGACCAATCAATCCGCTACGGTCGTCATCGATTTGTATTTTCTGATGGGAGGGATTACGTGAATGTTTCTTATGGCTTGCGGATGAAGTGGCGGGTACCGCCGGTGTCGCCCCGGTGTTTTCGCCAAGATTTGAAGCAGTTGTACTGTTATTTAAGTCCTTGGAGTTGGTGCGACGATGTCTTAGAATACTTAAAGCTGTTGTATCATTACCTACGTTAGTGGAAGTGCTGCTGTTAATAGTAGAGCCGGGGGCGGTTTGAGCAATTCTTATATTAAGATCTTTCGAATTGTTGCGCGAATGACCTTGCGAGTCCAAGGCAGTGGTTAGCACCGCCTCATTTGTTTCATTGGAGTTCTTCAATTTATTTTCCATTACCACATTTTTGAGCAAATTTACGTTCTTTTTATTGTTGTGATGGTTATGATGACCTCGCAGAAACTCCGGATCAAATCTGATGTTGTTCGGCATGTATATCTGGTCATAGGAGTGGTTGCGCGAATGTTTTCGCACGAAATGACCACATCCAGTTGTCAGTTCATCTTCGTCTTCTTCATCTGCTTGCGGTTTTAGTTGATTTTGTATAAAGCGTATGCTGAAATTTGGATCATCCCGTGAACAGGAATTGGAGTGTGCTACCAATTTATGGCGGAACTCAGAATTAAGGTCACTTGAATTATTGCGGGAATGTGTGTGAAGTTTTTTCAAATTTTTGAATTTGGATGTTTCACAGGCGTCCATGGGATTGTTGGTGTTGGTATTGTGATCCTTGGCAAAACTTCGTATCATCTTCACATCACACGAAGCACTACGGAAGTGTTTCTTTGATTTTGTCTGGGGAATGTTTGGATTGTTGGCCGGCAATGTGTTACTGCATTTATCGTAACTATAAAATGGAAAGAGAAATCACACAAATAAATGGAAAAGTAGACAGAAAAACTATATCTCCTAACTCATCAAGACTTCTCCTATAGTTTTTTTTTATTTCGACACCCAGTCAACAAATTGATATCCCTCTGGCCTTTTAAACGTTTATAATCGTGGCAAAGCATTATCTCTACAATTCAATATAATTGACCCTTATAGGCTAACCCTGTATTGATGTTTAAAAATGTTCACTAGTTTCCTTATTTACAGGAGGGGGACAAAAATGCATACATTTATACTGCTTTTCCCTTGTTATTTTTATCAAACTATTTTCTTTTTAAATGGGTATTATTCCGAAAAAAAAATTTGCTTACCCATATTCCAGTTGAATTGTACGTGAATTATTACGAGAATGGCGATATGTATCGGATTTCAAAGCCAGCTCACCGCTATCATCATAATTCAAGTTGGATTCATTGACAGCCAGTTTTTCTTCAAACACTGCGATTAAAATTATAGATATGGTTATTTTAAAACCTTCTTACATATCTCAGCAGAAAATAAAAACTTACATTTGTCCAAGCTAATGATGGATCCTATTACTGGATCGCTTGGGTTCAATGGTTTTGTTTTGTCCAATTGCTTGCGGCGCCTAACGAGCCACCAATCTATGATGAATATCACCAGAGCTACTATTTTGACTGTTGCGCAAAGACCCACATATCTAGAAAGGTATTCGAATATTTTTACACTTTTATTCAAATAGAGGGGCCCACAATAACTTACTTGTAACGGAACTTTTCAATGTCGTAAATAAGACAACGGCCTCCTTTCTCGCCACACGAAGACTTCCACAAAAGGCAAGTGGAATCGATGAGATTGCCGAACAGAATCGGTGCTGGGATATAGCCAAACAAACGGAATATTACAAATTGCATCCCGAGAGCAAATGAGCGCTCCTCCTCGGACACGGAGCGCAGTACAATCATAAGAAGCGGCATTTGAGTGGCTGCCACAATAAATGTCATAAAGAAGAGTAGAATAAGGAACGGATAAATGTTGCGGCAGGGATTGGCACAAGGTCCGGCAGTGGCAACAGGAACTACAGTGACTTCTGCAAAGTTTTCATTGGCATTCAGGGCCTCTGCATGGCTGCCACCAGCTCCCATGTAAATGCTGCTAGAAATGTTGGCATGGACACCTGCGAAACAAATAAGTTACTCCAATCGAATGGATTTTTACCCAACATTCACTTACATGCGCAATTTGTGTAATTGGAACTGGACGAAAAGGCAGTGCATCCCGCATGACATGGGCTGAAATATGTCAGGCCATTATTGCCACACACAGGTTCAACATCACTGGTCAAACATTCACAACCAAAATTGCAGGCAGCCGTTAAATTTACTTGGAATGGTTCCAAGGTTCCATGCTTAGAGTTATTGTAGTAAGGCATGGTTGTGCCAGCCATCTTGAGATTGTCGCAGCCCAGAAAGAATAGCAGAGCATAACATCCCAAACAGATGATGTTGGATATCAAGACAAACGTAACTGCTCCTTTTGGTTTCAACTGGAATCTCTTAAGAACACACCCGCCAATAAAGATGCCAATGCACGCTCCTGGTATGGCAATAGATCCAGTGAAAACACTTGCCTGGCTTTTGCCGACACTGAATTGTGTTTCCAAATACTTGGGAAGAAATACCACAAAACCAGAAACTATCATCAATTCCATGCAGGCGCCTAGACATGTGACAATATAAACTGGATTGGTAACTAATCGAAGCATGGATTGGGGTATATCTGAAAATTAAAAAAAAAAAAAAAAAAAAAAACTGTAGCTACAAACTTATTTTAGAGGCTTATATCATCATTACCTTTAATATCTTTGCCATAGCCCGTATCGACTTTGGGTTTTTCCGGTTCATCTTTGGGGGCCACCGATACAATTTCCTTTTTAACTCGACCAATTTCGTCAGTGGTTCGCGGTAGACTGTTTGAATTGTTTGGTATTGCTGGCTGCACGACAACAGAGGCTTTGCGAATTTTCTTCTTTTCGTGTGTGAGAACCTAAAACAAACAGGATCAGAAAAAAAGAGAAATAAAATCTTATCTCTAATATATAGAAGTGTTTTGAATGTGTGGTCCTATTTGTATTGGAGGTTGTAACAAAAATATTTATGATCTATATGATATTATTATTATTATTATTATTATTATTATTATTATTATTATTATTATTATTATTATTATTATTATATTATTATATTATTATTATTATTATTATTATTATTATTATTATTATTATTATTATTATTATTATTATTATTATTATTATTATTATTATTATTATATTATTATTATTATATTATTATATTATTATTATTATTATTATATTATTATTATTATTATTATTATTATTATTATTATTATTATTATTATTATTATATTATTATTATTATTATTATTATTATTATTATTATTATTATTATATTATTAGTATTATTATTATTATTATTATTATTATATTATTATTATATTATATATTATTATTATTATATTATATTATTATTATTATTATTATTATTATATTATTATTATTATATTATTATATTATTATTATTATTATTATTATATTATTATTATTATATTATTATTATTATATTATTATTATTATTATTATTATTATTATTATTATTATTATTATTATTAGTATTATTATTATTATTATTATTATTATTATTATTATTATTATTATTATATTATTATTATTATTATTATATTATTATTATTATTATTATTATTATTCTTAGTATTATTATTTATATCTTAGTATTATTATTATTTTATTATTATTATTATTATTATTATTATTATTATTATATATTATTATTATTATTATTATTATTATTATTATTATTATTATTCCTTATATTATTATTATTATTATTATTATTATTATTATTATTATATTATTATTATTATTATTATTATTATTATATATTATTATTATTATTACTAACCGATTTGTAAGTAATTTTGCATATGATTTGTAAGTGTATAGAATATATCCTGTGGCCACCCAATTTGAGGGTCCGGCTCTATTTATGGATCTTAACGATTATAGCAATATTCTGTATACCAATGCCCTTATAAATTATAATAACAATGTTAAAATATCATTTTCTAACCAATTAATTAGAAATGTCAATTGAAAATATACAAATACACACAAGGAGAATAATTTGCCGGGGCAGATAGGGGAAGGTAGACGTTTTTTTTTTTTCATCATAAACTAGACACTACACCCTGCATTGTAAAAAAATATGCAGAACGAAAAATACGGAGAAAAACTTACGGACAACATTTACTCAGTAAAAATTATTCAAAAAGCACAGCTGCTTTGTGGCCGATGCAAACATGTTTACAAATTGTCGACAATAATTTTATTATTTTTCATTCCGTTTAAACATCTCTAAATTTTAGGCACATTTGCAATGGATAATCTTTGTAGTAAAAAATTATCTATACATGTTCACATTTTGGTATGGCGCCGACTTAACGGGTATGCTTTTGAACCGATCTCACTAGTATTTTTAGTTTTAAGTGCAACAACACGTTTGAATATTAAATCACTTTTTTACAAATGTTTTTAACTCGTATTGGAGGGTTTTGAAAGTTCAGTCCTGGCGTTCAGTTCTTTTCAGGTAAAAAAATCATCGTTTATTATATCATTTAAGAACTTATTTTGCACTATGAAATTATATATTTTTATTTGTTTTTTTTTTTTAACAATTTAAAAATGTAACGCGTATACAGGGTGAGATGAAAAAACTGCAACCAACTTCAGACTGCTATCATTTCTAAGCCACTCGTCCGACAGCAGTTAAAATTATTCCAGTGACAGCTCATCATATTGTTTAAAAGGGTAAAAAATAATTTTGGTGAGCCTTTTTCAGAAAAAACAAGTTATTCGTGATAGAATTCAGGCGTGATAGTGTGATTTCTTAATATTTGGCTTGAAAACCACAAGTGGCTATAGTTAGAGCATTCCAGCATTTAAATGTGAATAAATCTTTTGTGTCTCGGACCATTGCTAGTTACCGTGATACTGGTAGCATACCCCGACGTAGAAGGAAGTAACGAAGTAAAGAAACGAATTAATCGAAACCCGAGTCGCAGTGGCCGAAAAATGGCTCGTGAGCTGAACATATCGCAATATTCCATTCGGCAAATATTGAAAAATGAGCTCGGGGTAAAGCCATTGAAATTCCAAAAAGTGCAAGAATTTACACCGCAACAGAAAGAAAATAGACTCAAAAGAGCTAAAGAGTTTCTTGGCCGAAAGAGATGAACTGCCGAATTTGGTTTTCTCCGATGAGAAAACATTCGTTGTCCAAAAGTTTGTAAACAAACAAAATGATCGGTCTGCTGAAAATGTGCATCTTCGGTTGGCCACCAGAACTCAAGCGCGGGCCATGGTGATGGTGTGGGCCGCGATAACAGCCAATGGTCCTTCTCCGCTCGTATTAATCGACCATGACATCAGAATAAATGCCGAATATTATCGCGAAAATAATCTGGAGGGTGTATTAAAGCCTGGGGCACACAAACCTTTTGGCCGCAGACATTGGACATTCCAACAGGACTCAGTACCATCTCACTTAGCACGCGCCACCAAGAATGGCTACAAAATTAGGTTCATCGCTTCATTTCCAGCGCACAATGGCCACCAAAATCTTCGGATACCAATTCGTTGCACTATTGTGTCTGAATATTTTGGAAAGCAAGGTTGGCATTTAAAAATACCAAAGTGTCGATCACCTCAAGAAAGCGCTTCGCCGGGAATGGGCCAAAATACCGCAGAACAACATTCAGACAGCGTGTGACGGTTTCATTGGCCATAATTCGTGCCAAAGGTGACCAATTCGAACACATCTAATCCTATTCTTTATTCAATAATATTAAAAAAATGTAAAAATGATGGCGTTTGACTCTGTTGCATTTTTTTCTCACCCTGTATTGCCTTCACAGTAGATTCTTGCTAAATTTTATGAAAGTTATCGTAAAAGATAATACTTTTTACAACATTTATACGCAAGAGAGACAACTCTTATTATTTTCATAAAATTATAAAAAACAATCTGTCTGGTGATTTTTTCTGCAGTAATTGTTTAAACTAACAAAAATATAGACGGAACTATCCTAAAATCTGTACATTCTTTACTTTCGTAGTTTGGATGTGTATAATGACACAATAATAAGTGTGTCTGTTTTTTTTTTTTTTTTTTTGATATCTTTAACAATTGTTATCAAATTTTCCGAGAGAAGAAATTTAAACAGTTGTATTACTGAGAGTTGCTGGATGCAACTGATAGAAATTTGTCCAGCTAGTTCTATCAAGCTCAACTGGCTTTTATTTTCAAATTTGAAACCAGGGCCATCCCCTGCGTAAGTTTCGACTACAAATCATAGGTTAAAGTATAGACGCATTGTTTGTTCGTGGGTGTTTTCGTAGCTGATGTAATATTTACATCAGTTCTAGTTTTGGATATACAGCGGCACCATTATATTGTCAAGGCATTTTTAGTAATAATTTGTCATGATACTTAATACTATTCCAACCCAGTATTTTTATTACAAATACTTTCACAAAATTGTTGATAAGCATTTGTGGAGTGAAGCGGATGGACACTTGCATTTGTCTCTTAAATTATTTATTTATTTATTTTTGAGCAATTACTTTTTACGGTGTAAACAATTATTATTTTACATGAGATACTGATATTAAAAATACAAGCAGTTACAGATGTCAAATTAATTTCCCAATATAGTCAAGGGTCGTATCAATTACATGCGAATGCAACAGACTTATTAAATCATCATTTTCAATGGGGTATTGTTAAATGATACAGAAGTAAAGCTCGAAATATTTTTATAATTTAGACATGCGTCAACATCACCGCGATATGTATCTTTTAATAAGGCTTTTAAATGTATATCAACAAAACCGTACATTGAGTTTTGTAAAGCTCATAAATGCTTCAAATCATGCTGATGATCTTACAGAAAAATTTAGCGCTATCTGGCGGACTCTTTGCAAATAATTGTCTATGATGCTCTGTTCCAGAACTGCAAGAATGTAAAAAAGAAATCTATTAGTTTTGCAATTTTCTTCGATTTCATAAAGGGAAAATCGGTTATCGTAGTAAAAATTTTTTAGATTCTTGGAGTTTTGGAACAAACTGCCTAGTACCTTGTTCCAAAAATCTGCAAGAATCTACTAGTTTTGCAATTTTTTCAACATCATATAGGGAAAATCCGTTATCGCAGTGAAAAGTTTTACATTCTTGAAATTCTGGAACAGACCCTGTGTAAAAAACTTTTTATTTCGAGATGTCAAATTTCAATCGAATCTTAAAATGAATTTTTCTCGACACTGAGGTGTGCCACTCTTTAGGTAAATGAGCAAAATGTGTTTTGACTGCAACTTACCTTTGGAAATGAGAAAAATGGTATAGCAACTATGAGCAACAAAACTCCACACAGAAGAAAACCTCCCCACCACATACCAACCCAACGGCGATCACCCGGGTCTGCAAAGAATATAAAATATGAATACTGCAAAACTCTCTGCGTTTTAATGCAATTGATCTTACCAATCGAAATTATCGACGATGACAGCGAGTCCATGTGGAAAGACAGCAAATAGGCACCCAAAAGGAAACCTACCACAGGCCCAAAGGCAGCCATGCTGTACATGCAACCAATGTACATGGATGAACTTTCCGTTTTCACGTGATCGTCGACATAGGTCGTGCCCAGTGTGAACAGAGGACTGCCACCACATCCTAAGAGCAGTTGAGCTATGACAAATAACAGTACAGGGCCAAATGTAGACAATTTGCCTTCAAGACAGTTGTCTTCTCTCAACGTATGCGGTGCCAAGGGAGGATTTGAGAGACCGCTAGACAGTCTGCCCAAATCCATGTCTTGATTTCGCACCAACGCACTGCGACAAATATTATCCGTAGTCTCATTGGCGATACTAACACCAGGATTGGGCTCGCCCGTAAAATGTGGAACCATAAACACCAAAGAGCCAATGCCCATAATGACTGCACCTGGTGTAGAGAAGACATGAGAGAGATTAGTTGTTTGGTGACAGTCACACATCAGGGTACTTACCAATGCCGATCCACACCGGTATATGACGTCTGCTTCCCAAATAGCTCACAAATATAACGGTAATCACATTGCCAATCTCATAACTGGACGCTATTAGACCAGAATAACTGGACGGTATTTCGAAACGCTTCTCAATGGTTGTTATCACCGAATTGATGTAGCCGAACTCAATGCCTGCTGCAGGGTGACAACATCGACAACAGCAGCACAAAATCTTGATGCGGTGCGAACTTTGTACGCCTCTTGGCCGGCACGCCATTATGCCACAGTTCTTGGATCGCAAATCGTCGTCATCATCATTAAGGCCACAAGTTGCATTGTTACTTGCCCCAGCGTAGGCATTTTGGTTTCCATGTAAATTGTTATGACTGTGGAGGGCATTTCCCAGAACAGCCGACGACTGACGGCTGTGACACTTAATCACCGAATCGGAGCAGGATGATGTTTTGGCTTGAAGATTTCGGGCATTATTCGTAAGTACTGTGGACATTGTTGTAGTTGCAGTGCTGCCGATAGGATTAGCTGGACCACTGGCCAGTACACTATCCTCGGCTAGATCAATGCTGCTGTCATCGCCGCTGTTTGTCTCGGAATAGAGGCCGGTCATTGATACATTGACTCTTGCCGTCTGCAATGAGAATGGACATTATATAAATGAATGTGTATTTAGAAAAGAGGATGCATAATCTGAAAGCGTTTCAATTAATTTACAAGTTGTTATGCCCTCAGCTTATGGCTTCACAGGGTGGTATTCACTCAAAATTTACATCGACAGTATAAAGATTATCTAGCCTAGCCTCCCTTATCCAACAAGGTGGTGCGTACGAAAATGTACAAAAATTCAATTTTTTACCTTCTGGGAACTTGTAAATAAAATCTCAAATAAAAAATGTAAGCCGACCTTGTGAAAACCTACGCCACTCTAAAGTTTCTGTAAACCTGAAACCTCTTTGACTGGAATGAACGAATCCATAATTTTCCAATGTAAGGGGTATAAATAATGTATTAATAATACCTATACATTTCCGAAAGCCTAGATTTCTAGAAAAACATTCCAAGTATTTGATGCATATATCAGCGTTTGGTCAATTGTATTTTTGAAATAATAGCATATAGTACTGCAAAGGGATTATCTCGGGTTTGGAGCGGAGCCGTAGAATCAGATCCTCACTATATGCCACGTCAATGAATGTGCCCTTTCACAAATTTGTGATTTCGCAGGGAAGAGGCTTTCGGATTTCCATACAAAGGTTATAGTCCATTTCTGCTGCTAAATATTATCCGATGATTCTACCCGTCATTTGGTCTATAACTGTGAACTCTATAACGAGGTCTTTTATAATGCCCTCAACACATAATGCTGGAGAGTGTAAAAATCCGGTCAGAACGTGTCAGACGATCGTGCCGACAGCTGAAATAATCGTTCAATCGCGAATACCTTTTTGCTTTAGGATAAACAATATGTTTGTTTCCTTCAGGAGCGTAAACAAACAAATCGATAGGTCTGCCCTCACGTGGAACATTTCACGTACGGCTGACAACGAGACAGCAGGAATATGCTAAATACGAAGAGTTTGCCCTTGGGATTTATTAATTGTCATAGCAAATTCCAACCGTACAGGAACGCAATCTTTTCAAGTTAACGACAATTTTTAACCTATTGGAAGGATTCTGGGTAGCAATACATACCAAACTACATACATACTTCCCCGTTATAATCGTAGCCTCAGTTAAATTTTTGTAATTTTTTTTTAATGATAGCCTAGTGCCATAGACGTTGTGGCTCTAGGCACCTTAATCAAATAATATCCGAATGTAACCGCTTTCAAATAAATTGACAAATTTATTGTTATTACTGTTCCGTATTTGGTGTATCAAATACAGGAAATCCGAAAAATATATATATGTAGGAACTATATCCAAATCTGAACCGATTTCAATATAATTGGACAAATTTATTTCCAAATTTCATTGATATTGGGGATACATAGCGTGTCTCGGGCATCAAATTAATGAAATCGATCTAAATATATATGGTTATACCTCCCATCTGAACCCGATTTCAATATAATTTGGCAAAATTATTTTTGTTCCGAGTTCCATTACACAGTTCAGATTTCATTGAAATTGAATATACATAGCGTGTTTGGTGCATCACATACATGAAATCGGCGAAAATGTATATGGGAGCTATATCCAAATCTGAACCGATTTCAATACAAGTAGCATATCTGGAAATTTTCAGGAATAACAAACAAACCATCAAGCGTAATAAACAATTTCGTCTTTTATAGATATAGATATGATTTCTTGGTGGTACCAAAAATATTGAGATGCGCGAAGTTTGAAATAAATCGGTGAATTGAAAAACGTTGTTTTAGAGCTAGAACCTTCACCATACTATGGAGGGTAACTCTTCGGAATACCCATGTTCGACCCCTCCTATCCTTAATCAGTGTAAAATTCTAAGTCGATTAGCGATGACCGTCTGTCTGCCTGTCGCTCAGTGTATCAAGAGATAGAAGGCACTCATGTGCATTTATCAGTAAACAGGTGAAGTTCGTAAATGGGCCATGTTGGTCCACGTTTTCGTATATATAACTGTACCTCCCCAATATTTGGTATTTTGACCGATTTAGATCACATGTTCTAAGATAATTTATTAAAATTCATACTTAGAGTTTGTAACGGGATCAAGCTCATGTGGCAGGACATTGTCTGTATAGGTTGACGTTTTCTTATAGCGCCCATATAATGTACCTCCCGATATTCGGTATTTAGACGATTTAAGCCACATTCTCAAACGGAATTGTTTAAAATTTTGAGTTGACTCTCTTTGTTGGTTGTTAGATGGGCTTACTTGCCGACGTCGTAGATTTATCATGTTTCCATTGGAAACCTGACACGATCTGATCCATTCACACGGCACCATTCGTCATTCACAGTTAGAAGATTCATAAGTTCTTATTTTTTGTTTCCATTATTTTTTCGATAAATACTCTCATTTGTTTGCAGATGGGGCATATATTATCTTTATTCTGAGAGTAATTTGATTCGAACAATGTACAAATATGCATTTTCGCTCAGGAAATTTTGCGTGAAGAATTAAGTCGTTTTCCCCATAGTTAAGGGTCGGTCAATCAACGAATAGAGGGCGAATCAAGTGCAGTGCAGAAACGCCACAACACAAAGAAAAATAGAATTTGATTCAAAATACAGTTGTTTTGGAAAAATCAAATCTTGTAATATGGATTGAAGACTTTGCCCACACACTATTCAAGCGCACACATATACGAAAGGATTCAGAGGGTATAAGGCTAGTTTTTAAGTTTTTCAATTTGACAGGTATATGAGCGAATTGTTCCCTTTACTTTAACATAAAAAAGGTTGTTGAAAGCTTGTAATAAAGGTTCGTAGGCCGAGGAGGGTATACATATATTTGTCAGCAAATCAAGTTATGCTTTCTAACTTGTTAACATTTGGCTGCCTAAAAGTATTCTCACCAATTTAGGTTTCGTTCACAAATCTTTGTTTGTCCAGTGCCAATTGATGGCGCTCTGTGTAACGGATACTCTAAACTTCTTGTCTGCCTTATTTGCCACTTTTGAGCCCCTACCACTATTCTCAATTCGGAGCCTCGGCATAGATCTGCGGTTTACACTGAATAGTCGATATATGACATAATGCGTGTACTTTAATGATGGTTAATTTATTTTCAAGTTTATTGAAGTCAACTAGAGTAGTTGGAGACAAATGGACAATACAATGGGTCTTAATTTATGCTTGTAATTTAACGTTGATAATAGGTCTAAACTCATACACACACACACACACACACACCCATACATATCCCTTAAGACATTAATTGTTACCAAACTCGCCTTCTTGGTCGGGAACCGGCAAATGGACAGCAGTAATTCGTTTAATGGAAAATTTAAATGAACTGTAGTTTGGTTCGTCCAACAACGAAACACACGTTCACGTGCTTCCACCAAAACGACATGCACGAAATTCCAACATTAAGGACAGTCTAAACGTTTTGTGGCGGAGCCTAATTTCTTATCGTTTTACACATCACTGTCAACACACTGTCACGCTTGGGCTTCGAGCTGGCTGCGCGGAAGTCAATCGCCCGACTATTATCCGCGGTGTTCATGTTTATCCTGACACATTTAAAATACTGGCGAGCCCGGCTGTCGGTATCGTGTGACCGACCCTCAACAGAAGAGTTATTGATTTTACAACACGTCAATTATTTACAGAGGGTAATTGGCAGCCAGTGGGTAAACACTCGGCCGTGATGGTCACCTACAATACTAAATGCGGGGGCCCTATTTGGGGCATATGTACGAAGTTGTTTCCGAGCTTACCTGTGACCCTTGCGATGTGAACTAATGTTGCTATGAACGGCACAACTGCCATTCTCTGCGGCCGCATTGCAGGAACTGGCACATGCAACTTCCCCAGAATGGCCCAGATTGTCGCTGTACCGCCGGGAACTGTACGAAGGCCCCACATTGGCGTCTTGTTCGAACGAAGGATTCACGTACTGTTGGTCCGTGTTGCAACTGCAGTGGCCGGTCTTTTCCAGTTTCTTTCCGGTCATGATTACAGCATTCGTGTCACTGCCTCCAAACTGATGTGATGTTTTAGTTTCTCCAATACTCCAACTATAATCTATAACATTTCCTGAAACGATTGCAAAAAAAAAAAAAAAAAGAAACAACAATCAAATTACTTTGCTGCCATAGAAGTGGGTTTATCGTGTCCGTTCTAGACTACAAAAACCCACAATTAATTAATAAAAATTAGTTTATATCGTATATGCATCATTACACAGTCGAATTGTTAATTTAATCTACAACTGCAAAAAAAGCATGTTTTTTTTTTTTTTTTTCCTTTCCTTTTTTATTTTATTTGAACAACCGCCATGACAACTAGACGATAACAAATCTACGAGTAGCTGTTAGCGTTTTGCATGCATCTAATTGCCCAGACTGACATGTGGAGTTTGTCATTGCATTGGGCTCGACCCTAGAGAGGCCCCGTGGCACCAAAGTCATTAAACCCAGTCACTGTGATTGCCAGTGGACGGACTCTGTGTCCCGAATGCCTTGTTATTTACTGGCAGGCAATGTTTCCCACTCCCGGCGAATGGGACCCACAGACACACGCCCACATGGAATTTGTTTAATTGCTTCTGTGCGTTACAAAGGCTACGTATGTATGACTGTCAGTCGGTCTGTCTGTCAGTCAGTAATGGACGCCAATGATATGTATCGCCGATAATTGGCTCTAAACTCATTAAATTACTTTTGACTATTGTTAGGAGTGAAAAAAAAAGAAAATATATTTTCGTGCAAATGATGACGGTGTAGTGA